GATGATGTGGAGACTTGCATTGCATATCACGGATCGGATTCACTTTTGATTCGCGCGGAAAACTTCTTTAACTTTCGGAAGCATTGGCGATTCGCCGACAGCGAGCCGATGAAGGAATTGGGCTTGGTACAAAACTACTTTCCCCGCAGCTAACTTTCTCTAGGAAATCGAAAGACTGGGGTGGCTTTGTTTCTCCGCAAGTGAACCGCTATCAACATGGTGTGCAGTAACCAGGATCTCGTGTATAAAGCTTCTAGGATCCGACGTTGATCAGGGTTATCTCACTCTAATCTTCGCATCGATCTCGTGTTCTTCATTTCGCTTTCCTGACACATCTTCGCCATCCATAGTCGCAATGTCTCCGTCAATGGACAAGAGCGAGATCCAATACATCGATGAGAAGGCGGAATCGATCGAGTCGCCGAAGCCATATCAGATCGTTAAAATCGACAACTTCCAAGTGCTAGGTCTGGCACCTGAAGATGCCGATTTCTATATCAACTACTCGGAAGAGCAACGGAAGAGAGTTATCCATAAGGTAAGCGATGGCCATTATTTATGCCACTTAGCTTCTGCTAACCTTCCATAGGTCGACATACGCTTGGTACCAATGCTTGCAGTCCTTTATCTGATCTCCCACATTGATCGAGCAAACATCGGAGTGAGTACCGCACATTCCCGCGAGTTGCAAAAGGCAACTTGTTGAGGGCTTGAGCTTATGCTGATCCCGGACAGAACGCGAAAATTGAGGGCATGGTCACTGACCTCGGTCTCGACGGGGTGCAATGGAACATCGTCTTGTCAGTGTTCTTCGTGCCATACATCCTTCTCGAGGTTCCATCCAACATTCTCCTGAAGAAATTCAAACGTCCATCCTACTACCTCGGCATACTCACCGTCTGTTGGGGTATTGTCATGACCATGATGGGCGTGGTGAAAAACTTCGCTGGGTTATTAGCAGCCCGCATTCTTCTTGGCGTGTTCGAGTAAGTCTTGTGCATCAGCGATACGTTCTTCTCTGACAAGATACAGAGCTGGATTCTTTCCAGGCGCAATCTATCTTTGCTCTTACTGGTACATGCCAAAGGACCTTGCGACGAGGATTTCGTACTTCTATTGCGCATCAGCACTATCTGGCGCGTTCAGTGGCCTGCTCGCCGCAGCCATCGCCAAAATGGATGGCGTCGGAGGCTACGAAGGATGGCGCTGGATTTTTTTGTTGGAGGGCATCGTCACCGTCGCGCTCGGTGTCTCGTGCTTCTTCCTTCTGATCGACTCTCCAGCATTGAGCGGACGATGGCTAAAGCCTGACGAGATTCGCTTCCTCGAGCTCCAACGATTCATCAAGGACGGCGGAAGGTTCGGGGAGGAAAAGAAAGAGGGCTTCAAATGGAGCGACTTGAAGGCCGTATTATGCAATTGGCGCTTGTACATGCAAGCATACATTCTGCTCTGCATATCGGCATGCTCATACGGTATGTATCCCTTGTAGAGTACAAGAACACTCGCTGACTGGCATACAGGAACGAAGTTCACCTTGCCCACCATTACAAAAAGTATGGGATTCAACAATACCAACGCTCAACTCATGACCGTACCACCATACGTGGCCGGTGCTTTGAGCTCCATCTTCTTCGCTAAGCTCTCAGATCGGTTTTACTGGCGTTTGCCGTTCGTCGCAATTCCTCTCTCCTTCATCTTCATTGGATATGCCGTGGTTATCTCGTTCGATGGCGACTTGGGTGGCAATATTGGTCCGGCGTTTTTCGCCATCATTCTGACCTGTATGGGTATCTACCCCATCCAGCCAGCTGGAAGCAGTTGGGCTGCCAACAATCTCGCCCCTTCTTCCCGTCGTGCCATTGGCGTTGCCTTCAACATCTGCGTTGGTAACATCGGTGGTGTCATCGGCAGCTACATGTACCTGGAGAGCGAGAAGCCCAAGTACTATACTGGGTTCGGACTGTCCCTCGCGTTCGGCGCAACTGGTTTCATTGTCGCATTCCTACTGGAGTTGTCGTACAAGTGGGGCAACACGAAGAAGGCGAGGCTCAGCGAGGATGAAATCCGGGCAAAGTACACGGACCAGGAGCTACTGGCCATGGGTGACAAGTCGCCATTGTTCCGATACACTTTGTAGAGCAAGCGCAACGTCTTGGGACGATATGAACTAACAATCGCGGACAATTGAATGCGGTATATAGATTTGGAATCCGTTATTACGTTAGCGAGAAGTTCAAGCTCGATGACCTTGGATGCTCCAGCTTTCACTCGATACCAAAATGTACTCTGAAGGTGTGCACACCATCTTTACTCTACTGGCATGACATTCTCAAACACAGCGAGTATCTCCAGAGTAGATTTTGATCCCGAGTAAGTATAAGTTCCAACACGATGTCGCCTCCAGACCGTCAAGAGATATTGTTCATCCAAGCGATCTCCAGATCATCCACTTCAGGGAAAGGGCCAAAAGCGGAGGCATCAAGGTCAAGCCAGTCGGTCGTTTGCCAGTCGTCCAGGAAGTTTTGCAGCCCTGGTGTAGTCACGTCCATTGGGCTACTACCAAAAATCGGCTGCAAGGCCTGCAAAGCGGAATCAGAACGAGATTCTCGTATCGCGTCGTCACCTAACGCCACGGAAGCTCCAGCATCCGCGGTAGCCGATGATGCATGTACCTGCTCTTGACGTGACCTTGCTGCTTTTCTCTTTGCTTCAGTGCGAAGTTCCTGTAAGATGATGCTGTATCGTCGCGAGGGCGAGTTCGTCGCTGTTGCCTGGGCGAGGTGTTGCAGACAGCTCTCAGCTTGATCTAAAATCCCGTGGGGGTCTTCAGCCGAGGCTGTACCGTGGGTGCTCTGTTGGATAGCCCACACATACACCACAACTAAAGCGCAGAAACACACATAGTGAGTCCACCAAAACGCGTGAAACAAACGACCCTCCCGAGCCATACGATCGACTGCTTCCAATACTGATCGTGCAGCTGCAAGACACTCTGCGAGGCAGTCTTTTGCGAGGATATGCATCTCAGCATTACTACGCCTAGCGTTCTTCAGGAGAAACGGACGATGGGCTAGAATCACAGCATGGCAGTAGGACAACTTGAGTGCAGTCGCCTGTCTTCGAAATGTCGGAATTAGACTGCTAGGGTTGACGGCACCCAGGAAGGGTGGAAGCGACGCCTTCCACTGGCGTAGCTCTGCCCCTAGGCGATGAGAGGCCGCAAGCCGAATCTGATCTGGCACCTGATGATGGAGTCAGTTATCTCATTGTCCTGGAAATAGTGGCTCTCTGACATACTGGCTTTATCGAGTAGACTTCTCGCGATATCTTTTCGGCAATTTGTGCCAGCCGCGCATGATATACTAGCGACTCTATATGGCAATCATCTGTGTTCTTAGCATTTGGGCCAGCACTGGTCATATCTTCATCGTTCACAGCGGCAGGGAAATCTTGGTCGATATCTTCATCGTGGTAGTGCCTGGGCCGGCCGAAGATAACGCCAAGATACTTGTCTAGAGTGTAGGCTACCCAAAACGTGCGTTTCCTGCACTGTTCATCGATGTAATCCCGTTTGGTGGCGGTTGCTTGACGTTTCCGATCGTCTCTTCGATGTAGGCCTAAAGCCGAGATAATCTGCAAAGCATGGCCAAATGTATACCATGCCTGATTAAAGCGACATGACATGAGAAGATATAAAACCTGTATAAGCCTGCACTGAGCAGACTCGAGCTTTGGGATACCAGTTTCGGCTTGGGTCAGACGCGAAGCCTCTATGAATAGCATATCGCTCTGTGACTGCGTGTCGGCTTGGGTCACTGGTGATGAACCGATGTCTCCGCCCGCTTTCTCTTCATGGAATGATGCGATAGCCAATACAGACAACACTGCTGCAGTCTTGGGGCGACCAAGATCTGCATTGAGAGGTTTGTAAGTGGGATGTGTTGTTCTCTAGGTAGAGTTGTACATACCATGGAAGAGTGCTCGATGCTGCTTTGCATTCTCAGACACAATTTCCAGCCAAGATTCGACTGTAGGTCTATGCAATAGCCGATACGTTGCAATACACACGTCAAAATACAGATGAAGAAGCTGGCGACTTCGATCTAGCAATGGCATCTGTATTTCTCCGGTCTCTAGGAAGGGCTTGTCGCCTGCACTCATAAGTAGCTGGCGGTCTTCCGCAGAACCTAGCTGTCCACTTACAACCTGGCTGCTTTCCTTGTTGGAGATGCGCCGCCAAGCACGATTCAAGAATGAGAGACCAGAGGTTGAGTCTGAGTACTGGCCAGCTACCTCGAGCCCAGGAGAAGCCCGTGACGGAGGATCCATCTCATCGCCGACGACAGTCATACTTGGTGCGACGCTGAGTATAGCATGAGGATAGGCTGGTGCCGACGTAGGCTGCTGAGCACTGCCAGCTGCTGGGTATACTGGGCGCGGGGAGACTACCTTGCCTCGCGTGTAGGGGGCTTCATACTGGCAGGTCAAGCCCCGGCGATTACAGGTCTCGCACGGCTGGTCGCCGGAGCATTTTGACTTCCTCGCCTTGCATACATCGCATGCTCTCGTGACTTTGACCAACCGTTGCCTTGTATTGTTGCTGGCTGGCGCAACGTCAAGGCCCCGCTTCCGGGGTGCCGTGTTGCTGGATGCTGCTTCGGTAGACATTGTGGAGTAGGAGAAAGTAGGGCAAATCCGTAATTTCCGTCGAGCACCCTGGAACAACAATACAAGGCAATGGTTGGTCAATAACCTCGGCTGCACTTTTGTGGGTCCCTTCGATCGCTTTTCCGATCCGACATATGGACTACCACCGCGCCTTCCGCATCAGATATGGAGAATTCAAGATGGGTGTATATATCGTCCGTATGGCTGTACGCTGTCTTCAGATGTCGCACATCTTCTTAGCATTGTATTGTACAAACCTAAATCTGCCCCGAATCTGCGCATTTTGAGTCTATTGTCGTCGCATCGCATTGCGTAACGCCACAGCAAGCATGCCTATCCCCACACACTTTACCCTCAACACAGGCGCGCAGATACCAGCTGTGGGCTTCGGCACATGGCAAGCGAAGCCAGGAGAGGTCGAGCGCGCTGTGGAGACGGCACTCAAGGCAGGCTACCGCCACATTGATTGTGCTGCCATCTATCGCAATGAAGCTGAAGTAGGCGACGGCATAAGGAGGAGTGGTGTCCCTCGCTCCGAAATATTCCTTACCGGCAAGCTATGGAACACCAAACATGCACCGGAAGACGTTGAAGCAGCTCTCGATAAGTCGCTTCAGGATTTAGGCGTCGAATATCTCGATCTGTTCCTGATGCATTGGCCCGTGTACGTCATACTTCTTTGCTATTGCATGCACAACATACTAACATGGACGAAGTGCCTTCAATGGTGCTACGGGCAAGTGGTTCCCACTGCGTGAGAACGGTGTGTTTGACCTCGTTGACATCGATCCTGCGACAACATATAAAGCCATGGAGAAGCTGCTTGACACTGGCAAGGTTCGCGCCATTGGCGTATCCAACTTCACCGTCAACCGCCTCAACGATCTTCTCTCCAAGACTGATGTCGTACCGGCGGTAAACCAGGTTGAAGCGCATCCATACCTTCAACAGCCTCCCCTCTTCGATTTTTGCAAGAGCAAAGGTATTCTCATTGAAGCCTACTCACCCCTTGGAAACAACCAAACCGGCGAGCCGCGAACTGTTGACGACGAGCTTGTAAGTGTCTTGGGCCGCAGACTAGGCATGGATGGCGGCCAGCTGCTTGCGAGTTGGGGCATTCAGCGGGGTACTGTGGTGCTGCCCAAGAGCGTCACACCAAACAGGATCAAAAGCAACATGCAGGTCAAGGAACTGCCCAAGGATGCTTTCGATGAGTTGAGCGGGCTGGAGAGGCACAAGCGGTTCAACGTGCAGTCCCGATGGGGGTTCGATATCTTCGAAGAATTAGGCCAGGAGCAGGTGCGGAAGATCGCGGAAGAATGCGCCGAGGAGAACAAAACGAAATTTACGGTATAGATGAATAATCTAGATCTTAGCATAGCACTCTATTTAGAAGGGAACCGAAACACTTGTGTATAAGCTTTTCCTATTTACCTACTAGGGCAAGACGTCGTAAATACATTACATGTGTACACGGTAATAGCGTTGCCTGGCACCTACCTTTTACAAATACAGCTACAAAAATACATCTCTGAATGTCGTGGCTTATTGGTCCGCGGATTCGCGAAGCTTGATACGCATGACGGTCTTGTCGATAGGTCTTGAACGTATTGTTAGCAAAGCACAGCTTGTCATGAGTGGCGATTGCTTACCTTGAGGTAATGGACATTGTCTGCTAATGAGTAAGTCGCTTGTGTGATTTCGCGAACGGGGTGATAGCTTACGTTGATCAACTCGGACTTTGTTCTGTATCTGCCCTTCTGGTCCATGATAGGCTGACCCGCTTCGTCCGTCTCGACTTCTCCGAGTCCGACCTTAACGAAGTCATACCTTCGCATGATGCATGCTAGAATGACGCGGGCCTCCATGTTGGCAAGTTCCTGACCAATACAATTGCGTGGTCCTCTTTCAAAGGCCCTCCATGCGCTAATGGGTATCTTGCTCTCGCCAGTAGTTGATCCGTCGTCTTCAGTCGGAGTGCTGCTGGTATCGGAGTCGCCAACCCAGCGCTCGGGAACGAAGTCGTTCGCTGTCTCTCCGTACACCTTGGGATCTCGCTGAATGATATGATGGCACAAGTATATGACACATTTGTCGACACATACGTCATCTCCATCTGAAGTGTGTAGCTTGAAACCGTTGTGTGACATTCGTGCCGAACCTGCTGGAGGCCAAAGTCGCAAAGCCTCTTTGATGCATGCAGATGTATACTTGAGCGCTTTCATAGTCTCATCCGGTCGCTTGAGGAATACATCGCGTGGCTCGGAGTCAGCAAAGACAGCATCATGCTCCGCGCGGATTTTCGCAAGGCAATCCGGGTGTATTGAGAGGGCGTAAAGCAATCTCTGTAGGAGGATAGCGGTGGTATCGTGTCCTGCAAAAAGGAATGATTTGACCTGGTCTGCAGTACTCTGCAATATGTAGGGGGTCAGCTCATCAATACCCTCTAGTGCCAGGGCCAGCACCGATCGGTCTTTGTTTTTCTTTGTATCGGAATGCTGAGCTGCTTTGATATCTGCGAACTTCTCGACAATGCACTTCTTGACAGCCGAGTCCAGCCGTCGGCTGTAAATGTACTTCTTGACGCGCAATGGCAGGTTCAACCAGGAGGCCATTAGACCGTTGTCACCAGTGTATACAGCCTTGAGTGTGCGGAAGTTACGGACGATATCATGGGCTTGTTCGCCATCGTCTTGGGCCCTACAATCAATGTTGGTCACAACGTCGCCAATAATATCGAAGGTTACATCAGTGCAGTAACTTTCCATCTCGGCTGCGATGCCAGAGGCTGCCAATGCGTCCAGTCTTTCAATAAGCGTATACGTTTTGTCAACGATGACAGGAAGTAGCGTAAGCAAATGCTGCGGGGCGAAACCTGGGTTGAAGGTCTTGCGAAGTCCTCTCCAGGATTCGCCATTCTCGCTAATCAAGGAATACCTCCCAACGAGCTCCCCGAACCCTTGCTGGACCGTTGGAGATTTGGTGACGCTGTACTGCTGCGTTTTGCTAGCTCTTGAAACTTGCTCTGCCATCTCATGGGATGCAATGAGAACGAGTGGGTATTGCACAGGTCTTGTGTCGAAAAACATGAACTCTGGGCTACCTTGGGCTTTCCATATATTTTCAAACACATAGTCTGCCTGCTGTCAGTGGTGGCTAGTGGCTAGGATGTGAGTCTTACCCGGGTGGACGGTAATGCTGAAGCCAGCCCTTTTGTATTCAGCCGCGATATAACCAAGGTGCCCAAAGAGGAAGTTTGATGACAGCTTGCTGGGAATATGTGCATATCGCTTGAAGCGCCATTGGCTTATTTGGAGGTACAAAAGCCATGCGACAGCTGGAATAAGCGCTAGCACGGCGTACGAAGGATTCGACATGACCTGCTACAGCGGGAGGGTAGAGTACACAGTCACTAACAACCAGATGGTCGTACAGAAAGTAATAATCCAATGGTAGGAGGCTGGTACGTACGACAATATGCCTGTGGTCGTGCGGCTTACGGTGAGCAGCTGCGGGCGCTCGTGCTCGGGCCATCGGCCTTAAGACTGATGAGAAATCGATGATGTAGGGCCCGACATACGGACGAAATCACCAGCGGAATCGCCGTTCCGGAAGCTACGCGTCATATATGAAGTAACTGGTAGCGCCGTTATTCGTGGTACACACGAACACTCAATCGCACTATGACCGTCTTTGAAGCCGTACCTCCACCATCACAAGCGCGTCTCGATGCCTCGTTGACCGACGCGCCCCTGGACACGGAGGAGCTTGTGTCGCAACAGTCCACAACAACACAAGAGAAGGACAAAACAGTGTTGTACCTGGCATATGGTTCAAACCTATGCAACGAAACCTTCCGAGGCGTGCGTGGTATTCGCCCGCTTTCACAAGTCAATGTTCTTGTTCCCTCGCTGAGGTTGACCTTTGATCTCCCCGGCATTCCCTACAAAGAGCCTTGTTTCGCCAACACAGCGCTGCGGGTGCCGGACGCGCAAGACTACCACAAGGACCGATGGCATAAGGGCTTGGTGGGCGTTGTGTACGAGGTGACGCTCTCTGATTATGCGCACATCATCGCCACGGAGGGTGGAGGCAGTGCCTACAACGATATCCTAGTCGAATGCTACGTGCTACCACCCTCGAACACTGTTCCCTCTACACCCGATTCGAAGCCGTTCAAAGCGCACACACTCTTTGCGCCCATCATAGACCGCGAAACCAAAGAACGAACCACCGCTCGTGTAACGCGACCCGATCCCAGCTATGCGCAGCCTTCGGCACGATACCTCAAGCTCATAACCGATGGCGCCGCTGAATGTCGTCTTCCCGGCGAGTACCAAGAATATCTAAACAATATACGAACATATACCATTACAACCAAGAAGCAGGAAATGGGAAAGGCTATCTTTCTGGCTATCTGGATGCCTTTCATCATGTTCATATTTGCCATGGGGAGGAAGCTGCAAGACAAAAAGGGTCGGTCGCCGTGGTGGCTAGCGAAGCTCAGTGCTATGATCTTTGCAGGCATGTGGACCAGTTACGACGGCGTTTTCAAGGGAACCTTTGGTGACGGAGAGAGGACAATAGGTGATTGTATGTTGCCGACAATCGATGCCAGGAGCAGGAGGATCTCCACCACTCGAGAAGATGCGGAAAAGGAAGGCTTGTTAGAAGAGTATGGGAGGACTATGTATGAGCCGCGGTCAACAGGGCAAAAAGCCTGAACACCAATAAATCTTATCGCCTATATTGGCATTTGTATACGGTCAACGATAAACCTGAGCGACGAGTATTCTCCTGGGGTAAATTTAGTGCGCTTGCAAAATGTGTTCGCCTTGCAAGCCCAATCTGGGATCCACCCTTTAGTTGGAGCATCTCCATTATCCCAGCAAGACCGGCGAACACCGACACTCACCGTCAGACTCCGATAGAAACTAGCCCTAAACAACCCATTCTTTACAAAATCCAGAAGTTACATCAAATCTCTTTATCTAACAATCCAAACTCACAAGATTTCCTATCCCTCCACACATCAAACATCATGTGCAAATCTCCCACCCACACGTTCCTCGCGGACCTCCCAAAATGTGAACATCACCTCCATCTAGAAGGCTGCCTCAGTCCAAGCCTTCTCTTCACTCTGGCCTCTAAAAACAACATCGCCTTACCATCACCGTCTGAGGATGTCGCTTACACATCACCCGCAACACTCACGGAACGCTACTCACATTTCACCAACCTGGATGACTTCTTGGCGTATTATTACCGCGGCATCGCAGTCGTAGTGCACGAAGAAGACTTTGAAATGCTTGGTTGGGAGTACTTTACGACAGCAGCCAAGGACGGAGTTCGCCATGCAGAGGTCTTCTTCGATCCACAAAGTCATACAGAAAGAGGTATTGACTTTGATGTTGTGGTACGTGGCTTCAACGCCGCGAGAGTACGTGCAGAGAAAGAGCTGGGGATAACGAGTTGTCTGATTATGTGTTTTTTAAGGCATTTGCCTGCTAGCTCAGCGGCGGACGCCATGGCGTTGGCTGTCAAGGGCGGGCACTTTGATGTTAAGAGCGACGGTCAGGAGCGCGCTATTGCTGGACTTGGGCTCGACTCATCGGAGGTGGGATTTCGCCCAGAGCTCTTTGTGGATATGTATCGTGAGGGCGAAAAGAAAGGTCTACGGAGGACAGCCCATGCGGGTGAAGAGGGTGACCCAACATATATCAGCGGAGCACTCGATGCGTTATATGCCGAGCGCATCGATCACGGCATTCGACTCACAGAAGATGCTGAACTTCTCCGTCGGGTGGTAGAAGAGGAGGTACTATTGACTGTTTGTCCACTGAGCAACGTCTGCCTTCAAGCTGTGAAGAGCGTTAGTCAGGTGCCAATCAAGACATTCCTCGAGGCAGGTGTAAAGTTCAGTATCAACAGCGACGACCCAGCGTACTTTGGTGGTTACGTCCTGAACAATTACTGCGCAGTGCAAGAGGCTTTTAACTTGAGCATGGAAGAATGGAGGACAATCGTTAGCAATTCGATTCACGGCAGTTGGACAGGTGAAGAACGGAAGTCTGAGTTGCTGGGCCTGCTTGATGCTTGCATGAGCAAACATGTTTAGATTTATCCGCAGCTATATAATCGTTTGTTGGACACAGGCTGGAATAGCGGTTGCTGGCAGACCAATAGACCCTGGCGAGTAGCCACTTGCAACCAACATTCCAGGAGCATCAAGAACGGTTTGTCCTAACCGCGCCGCTTTTCCTCGGCCATTCCTTTTGCTACAAATATGCTCATTGTTTCTGAGTTGTACTCAACACGTAAAGAGATCTACCTTGCAACGTCGAGTGTTACAAGCC